TGGATTGTCTCAGGGGCATCTTTGCACAGCCTGCAGCTGGGGTCCTGTCTGGTATGGTAAACCCCGGCCTCTATTGATCTTGTACTTGAGCTGACTCAGATTGACTTGAGCCTGTTCCTGTGCTGCCAGGATGAGCGCCCGTGTGCTGTCTTTCAGTCCAGCCACTGGTAGGATTTTTCGATATCAGCCACTTCTACTATTTGACGGTGGTACATACCGTGCAGAGGTTTGTCCTTCCATGAGGGTTCCTGCTCTTCCTTCCCTTGTTCCTCTGGTTTCTGCTGCCTGAGGTATTCACTAAACACGTCATCACTTGGGGCCATCTTCCTGATGTTTTCATGGATCTTTGTTGTTTCATCCTGGATAGTGGCTCTGACGCTCACTAATCCTCGGCCTCCTTCCTTCCGCTTAGTGTACAGCGGAATACGTTATAGTTTCAGTTATTTTTCAAGCAAAAATACCAAACATTTTCTGGTTCCAGTTTCTCAAATGTGGTAATGTGATGCTTTTTATTTGGCATATAGGCTAATAAACTGAATCTCTTTGGATTTAAAACTATAAGTTGAATGATACAAGGAATTTGAGTGCATCTTCTTAAGAACATCATGTATTTTTCACCATTTTCTTACATTTTACAAGCAGAGAAGAAAGTAGAGGGTAAACCTTTCATATCTCCAACAGGAAATTTGGCTTACAGACAGCAATCACTAATACAAAATACATATAGAATGCAGTAATGAATATACACAAAACTGACTGATTTACCTGCTTGTGTTTTGTACAATACATTATGATCAATCATCATTCTATTATCTCACATATAAGGAAGAAATACTGCTCACCCCTGTTGTGTTATCAAATGGATTGTACAGGTCCAGTGTGGCATATCCTGTGTTGCTACTGTGTTGAGTCACTGCAGGGTCCTATAGCAGCAAAACAGACAAATAAATGGTTTTTCACTTAGCTCAGTAATAAGTTTAACTTGGCCTCCTCGAACATTAGCCCTCATTTAACAAAAGTTTTTATTAACGTGTTAATAGGAACCATGGGCAGATTATGACATAATAGGCATAATATATTTCTCTTTATGGTCGATTTGAGTCTCTTAAGGTTAATTTTGTATTTCTGTATGGTCGTTTTGCGTCTCTCTACATTTGTTCTGTCTCTCATTTTGATCTTTTCTGGGATGTTTTGCAGGCGAACTCCACGGGCTGCCCGACTCCCTCAGAGCCGTGCCCAGTAGGCCCATTCAGTTATTAGTCCACGATAAGAGCTACAGGTGGGCAAAGGTTAGGGAAAGCAGGCAAGCCCAGACAAACACACACACACGTGAGCAACAACACGGCACAAGGCCTGACTTTCGTCCATCAAACACATCATGACAGGCTACACCGATGAAGGCTAATATCATAGCCTTTACTTCACCCACCTGGAAAGGGTTGTGGTCTTCCATCGGCTCTGGAAAGCTTGTATATTTGGACATATTAATGGTTGTATATTAAAAGAGAGCCAACGTCGAGCAGCCACCACTTGCTGCTAATGTTAGACAAAAGCAGTCCTCTTGTGGCAGATAAAATACGGCGTTTGTGTTTATTCCGTCAACTAGCTAATTGCACAGCCCTTCACGGATGAACATGTCCCCGCAGCAAATAACAGGTGAAAACGACTTAAGCCACTGACAAGTTGATGAGGAAATCCCGGGGCTTTTTCCTCTTAAGTCCTGCGTATTTCAGAGCTACACTGTAGATCCCTTTTCACCTAGCAGAAGAACAACAGAGGTATAGGAATTAAGAAACCGAAGAACAAGAAGTCATGTGACTGCTGCGGCAGAGAATCACGTGAGAACTGAGGGGGCGTAGTCACGCCTGATTATTTAATTTTATGTTTAATCAATATAGAAACTGTTTGATATTGTAGGCTACTGTTCTGGTAGATGAAATTAACATCCAGGCATAAAAGAAATATGTTGCAAAAGTAAGACACGTGATGAAAGACATCATTGAAGAAAATACATAGTGTTGAATTGTTCAATTAATGAGAAACCTTTGGGTAGCTGGGTTGTGGATGGTATTTGTCCTCCTCCAGCTTTGTCTGTTTGGCTCTTTGGTTCATTTTGATGAATCCTCCACAAATCATTTGACCTCTGACCTTCTGGAAACAAGTCACAGAACTTGATGGACCAAAATCTGTTTATTAACAATTTATTAACATTTATATTTACCACAATTATATTTACCATTAATAAAAAGTCACATATTAGAAAGTGACACCAAAATGGTATTAGCCTACTTGTACCTGGAGTCACTGGTATGTATTTTGCAACAGCACCCAGCATCTGGAAATACAGGTCTAACCATCTGACCACAAATGCCTTACCTTACCAATGTCCACTGAATACACATACTGTATTAAACAGTTCCTTTTTTCATAAAATACTGTAGGTCCACACCACTAAGATTAACTCAAGTTAAAACATCCCTACTTTTCCTATTAAACCTGTACCAGATACAAGTGCTATTAGCCTATATGCTATTCTGAGAGATATAAGTTGTGCAGCAGACTGCAGTTCATGTTTTTCTATTAGACAGTTATTGAATGGCTGTGACTACCAAAAGATGTGCAAATTGCCAGGTAACAAAGGATCTTTGGATTTGTTTGTTTTAAGTGTACAGTGGCAGCTACATTTTAAACTATGCATTATCCTACCTGGTCATTTTGAACATTCTATTAAATTTTAACTATAGGGTTACTAGCTTCAAAGTCTAACTAGAAACAAATTCAGGCAATGTCATCATGGTTTTGCTGTAAGCTAAAGATAATACCTGTTTTATCTCTGTCTTTCTCTGGATCTGACTTTATCTACCTGTTGACTTTATACTTTTTGAACAAGATGCTTTCCTCCTCTGGCACATTGGTTAGTGCTGTCACCTCACAGCAATAAAATTCCAGGTTTGAACCCGGGCCAACCCGGTAGCCTTCTCTGCAGAGTTTTCATGTTCTCCCTGTGCCTGTGTGGGTTCTCTCCAGGTACTTCGGCTTCCTTCCACAGTCCAAAGACATGCAGCTTAGGTTAACTGCCAACTCTAAATTTCCCGTAGGAGTGGGAGTGAGTGTGTGTGGTTGTTTGTCAGCCCTGTGATAGACTGGCGACCTGTCCAGGTGTACCCTGACTCTCGCCCAATGTCAGCTGGGATTGGCTCCAGCCTCTCTGTGACCCTATTCAGGAATAAGCAGTATAGATAATGGATGGATGGATGGATGGGATTTTCCTCCCCAGTAGATGTCCCTCTTGTGCCTTCATTAAATAATTTTTAACTGGATTTGGATTTTCATTAAAGTGATTCTCTAGATAAAAGTGGGATTAAAAACCTCATACAACTGCTAAGGAGCAGCAACTCGGGTCATATGTATTTATTCATGGAAGTTATGTTTCTCCCCACATTGTATTTATTCATGGAAGTTATGTTTCTGCCCATATAAGATGTGTTTCCTGGAGGCAGTATTGTAACACAGCTATTGACTGTCTTTTAATTCCATCTTGTACACAAAAGTAAGTCTAGGTTTTATAGGTTTAGTCTTTATACAGTGTTCTTCTCATATATGACAGTGCACTCACGGGTTGAGCAACAGCAGGAAGGATTACACATTTAACTTCACCATTTCATGACCTAGTGGTGTCTTTGTCTCTGGTCTCTTTTCATTCTCTTCTCCTACAAGCCACACAGGGTCACATGGGGTGATATGGGTGGTGATAGTCATATGATTTTATTACAAACACATAAGCTGGACTGTCTCTCACACACATACCATTTACACAGAGACCTGTTAATGCATATATTGTACTGTACTGTATTTAATAATGTCCACAATGCAGAGCTGACTTTTAATTGGAGGTTAAATTGGAACTTCTGTTTTGGAGTTAAGAGACCACTGCCGCAGAGCTGTAATTTTACAGCTCATTGCAAACAATGAGACTAACTGAATTTTTAGGGAGATAAATGATGAAGCAGATGTGGAGGTGGAGCAAGAATTTTACCATGGAATGAGAGGTCATTTTGGAAGCCTAAATACATCATATATTTAATGGTGAAAACATTTTAGTTTAGTTGTTGTACCTAAATGACCATGTATCAGCTCTTGAATTGTCTGGCTGAACCTGCTCACAGGCTTCGCTTTGTTTGTCTTTATACCCTCATCTCACAGCATCTGTGTTTGTCAGCTGACCCCAGTGAGTCATCATTTCCTCTAATGGGCCCTATCTCGATTGGTCTAGATGGCCTCAGTTAAAACGTTGGACCCAGGTGCCTCCCAGTCCTAAAACCACAGCATTCCTCAGCCAATCAAGCAATGACAGGCTCCATGACATCACTGCCTGAGGAATGAATTGACATAACAGTTGGAAAGTGACCCAGCTAGCATGGAGGGACTGGGTGGGTTAGATGGCTCCTATAACACGAACAACCACTAGTCATAGAGATTATTTAATCATTTATTTGTTTATATAGCGCTTTACAACACAGAAGGGAGCTCAAAGTGCTTCACAATAAAACAGAGATAAAACAGAGCATGCCAAAATACATAAATGAAAAAAAAAGACAAGAAAAGGTAACAATGCACAAATTTAAACAAAGATCTGTAAGAACAACCATCAAACCATAAATCTGGTGTATGTGAATGTGTATGTAATGCCACTTTACTTACTGAACAACTACTGAGAATCTTTCCACTCGCTCTACAGTATGGTTAAATAGCTGTGGTCTTGTTGAGTGCAATAACAGTGAGGCCAATGAAACCACACTTGCTGCCTGTGACACATCAAAAAGCATATATGATGGGTGAAGCTATGTAAACCATGCATACTTGGCCACACATAATCTTTTCATTCTCCTTCTTTCATGCAAACACAAACTATTTACAGGGCAGAGGTGGAGAGTAACTAAGTACATTTACTTAAATACTTTCTTTAAGAACAATTTTGAGGTATTCATAGTCTACTTGAATATTTCCTTTTTATGATACTTTACATTTCTTCACTTTCTGCATGCAAAGATTGCACTTTTTACTGCACTACATTTATTTGACAGCTGTCACAAGTTATTTTCCTCCTATTTGGCTTGTGACCGCTTCCAAAAAAGCAATGTCTGACTTGGGCTCACTATTACATTACGGATCTCTATAATTTGTTGGAGGTTCCAGCAAAGAGACAAGTCTTCTCCAAATTTCTCCAGTGGTTTATATAACTGGCACTGCCTTTTTAAAGCCAAAAGATGTTAAATGGTCTAGTAAAAACAGCAAAGATGAGCACAAATACAAAATTTACAATACAATAATATATCAGTCAGAACAGATTCTTTTACTTCTATGCTTTAAGTATATTTTGTTGATAAACATTGTACTTGTACTTAAAGTGTTGAATGCATGTCTTTTACTTGTAATGGAGTATTTCACACTTGAGTACAGGATCTGAGTACTTTCTGCTCCAATGACATGAAGGTTATTGAGAGCATTCATCTTGGAGGAGGCCCAGTCCTCCTGCAGCTTGATCAGCACTGTGTGTATAAACTGGGAAGCACTTCAGAGGGGTGCTTGTCTGCACAGTGTTTGAAAACCTGGAAAAGCCATCACTGTGAACCAAAGCTACTCTCCCGAGGAAGTGCCTGAAGGTTCATTTTTCACAATGATTGAAGCACAATGCTGAGTTTTAGTTAAGCAAAGGGTTGATTTTCAGCCGATAGTATTGTCTCCTCACATTTCAAGTCTGTATATATTATGTTGAACAGCTAATTTTGAGAGAGAATACCTGTAAATCAACCTCAAGAGCATTAAACAAAGCCACATTGCACTTTATACCAGGGTACAAAGTCAGAGCAATAGGGTGGGGGAATTTTAACTGAGTTCATTCTTTAACTAGGTACAGCTGGAAAAGGGAGCATAGGAAGTATAACCTACCCCTGATGCTACAATATTATTTTCTCATGGCTGCTCTCTTTCTTTCCCTTGCTCAGTTTTCTTTCCACTCCGTTTCCTCCCTTGTCTTTGCCAAATGTCTCTCAAAGCAGAGTTAATGTTATGAATTGTCAATAGGCATTTTTAAACGGAGAACATATTGTTGTGAGCTATGACGACAGAGAGCACACAGAGGACAAGGTATTGGATTGCAAATGGAAAGATGGAGGTGTAAAGGGTGTGGAATAATCAGGAGAGTATGAACGGCACACAGTGATGTAAAGTGATATGCAGATGGACGATGGGAATGGGAGGTGCAGGAAGGAGGCAGCATAAAGAATGATTGTTTGAAAAGGAATGATCAAACAGTAAAGTCATATAAAACAGTTTAATAGCATTTTGAAAAGGTATTTAAACACTATAATAAAGTTTTTAAAAAAGAAATATGTCACATTTCTATATGATACATACAGAGTAAATTCAGTTTTGCTGTTATAAAGGCAACTAAACAGACATTTTCCACAGAGTGAACTGATTGAGCAAGACCTGGCCAACTTCTGATGTCCTGTGATGAAAAAGACAAAAACAAGGGGAGTAAATGTAAACCATGCACGAGGCAAAAACACAGGAGTATTATGTGACAATCTTGAAAATTTTTCCTCATTCTCGTTCATAAACTCTGGTGCAGACAACATCCCCAGCAGTCATTGTCTGAAAGAAAACAAAGACAACAGGACAGAGTTTAAACTTTTGGGACACTGTCTTAAAAAGGCACTTGTTATAAAGGTTAGTTAATAAATCATTTATTAATGCTTTATCAATCATTTAAAAAGCCATGGTTTGGAATATTGTTTGGTTTATTGTTGTAGAAAATCTTCCTTCAGCATGACGCGTTTTCTCATTTTTATTTAGCTCTTCAGAAAGACCCTCCCTCCTGCAAAATCAAATGAGTTGTGAAATAGATTTTGGGCCAGATTCATGGCTCGTAGAGGATGAATCCTACTTACTTTGCTGATCCTCGGCTTTTATCCTGATCATTATTATCCTTATCCTTTTCATCCAGGATTACCATGAGGTTGATGTTTGTGATTTTCAATACAATATAACAATCCTTCATTCAAGCAATGATGGCAGAATAGAAAAGTTGGAAAACTACCCATTAATCTCATTTGGATGTGTTCCTGCATTATTCCAAAATCTGCTACCCCAGCTACTAACCTTGTAGTATAAGTAGTCCACTTTGCTACTGTTGCTGTGTTACATATTTGCAAACCTTCATTAACAAGTGAAATAAATACAAATAAACCGTGTATATATATGTGATAACCTGGCAACATGTCCAGTGTATACCCTGCCTCTCACCTATTGTCAGCTGGGATTGGCTCCAGCTATGTGTGTCTCATTTTTTTAACTATTATTTATAGTTCTGTATTTCATAGAACTAGGGATTTAATTTACTTTTTACACATATTTCAAATGTGCCACCCCTGTCTGAGTCTGTGCACCAGCCTGGCCAACTCCATCCAAAAATTTCTAGGTCCACACCTGGGCTGTTCATAATAGCATTTACAAATATGTTATGAATGCAGCTTTTCTCAGGTGACTGCTTTCATCCACTGCCATTATATCAGGTCAAAAATCATCCTACATGTTGGACAAAAGGTGGAGACTTTATACTGTAAAATCCTTAGACTAGAAAATCATATTAGTTTAGTTAGTTAGCTTTTGTTCAGTGCAGTTTCCATGAAGTCATGTATCAGTGCTGTACACTAATTACCAGTATCAGTTCTCCGTTGTTGGTCAGCTCTCGGGTCCACACTGTTTTGGGCCCATCACCTTTCTGTAAAGTCTGTTCACAGCTGATCTTGCTGTCTGTTTCCCATTTTGGAAAACTCTGCAGACATTCATATAAGAAAATATTAATAACCTGCACAACTTAAGCTCAGCATGCTGATCATTGAGTTTTTATGGCCTGTCAGACATTATGTCCTTCACCACTCACTCAGCTTTTAGACATGAAGGACAGATCCATTATCACAAGGACTGACTCTGGAGTTGCACTGAAATTACTTCCATATGCTTCTTGTGCACACAACTGCGGCTGGTTATGCTGTCTTGTTGCTATCCATGTAATGACATTATCAAGGAATGTTTTGGAAAGTAAAGGGACGTGTACCGTGCAGGGGCGTCCGTCCACTGTGGTCTCATTGAAGGACTGACCCACAGTAAAGGAGACCTGGGTGGTGCGCACGCTGGTGGATGTCCTGATGGACAGACTCTCTCCCTGCTGGGTGATTTCCACTGCTGGGCTAGAGGCTGCTGTCACTGCGATCTTCCTCAGGAACACATTCACACCTGATCACACACAAACATAATTAATATGCAACAGGAAAAAAAAGCCTAGTCATGGATGTGTCAGGTACAACTAGGTGGAAACTCAGAATCTATGTGCTATGGGTCAACAAAGATGTCATATTTAATCAGTGTAAAACAAATGTAAACTGCTGGCCCTTTGCAATTATTCAAGTCTGCTTCTCAAATCTGATTCTATATTTTCTCATGGAGTGGTACTAACAGACAGAACACACACACCTAGAGCCCTAGACTGGGCCAGAGAGGCCCAGGACAGTGAGGGAAAGTCAGTCTCAGAGCAGCTGGGGCCCACGTCAAGGCTAAGTTCCTTTTACACTGGCTCTAATTACAACTGCATGAAGAGGACCCTGCTTCAGATGAGTCTAATCTAACATTCCTCCACAGACTATTTGTCTAAAGGTTTTTAATGGTGCCACTGGCCCTCATCTGACCCCTCCTATTCTCTACAAAGAGGACTTACAACTGGAACCAGTCTCATGCATCTTAACAAGACCAATGCAGGAACACAGATTAGCTGGGCATGAGAAAACCAATTAAGCCACCACTTTGGTTCTCCGGTTTGATCTCAAAGCCAAGTGGATTTCCAGATGATAATTCCACTGACAGGTCTTTGTAAGGCATCCATTTCCTCATGTTTTCTTTTTTGCATTTTAAGGATGAACCTAAATGGTTGGTGATACACAAGAAACCAATAAGCAGCCTGACAGTTTGAGGAGTTTTGCATGTAAAGCATTTTCAAGACAGAGAAACAGCTTTAGTTTGCATTTCACGTGTAGACGACTAATGCTCCAAGCGCATTACTCACCCAGCGCTTTCAAAAGTTCCTCGAAATTTTCCGAAGACTTCATTTTCCATTTCCCTGAAAAATCCGCGACTTTCTTCTCCATTTAGATTCAAGCAGTTGCACAAATAATTAGTAGTAATTAGACTAGTAGCCGATTCTGGCTGCAGACTATCCAGTCGATGTCTGTCTGTCTGTCTGTTTGTCCCTCTCGGTTAACCGGTTAACAAAGCCTGCATCTGCGCCTTAATTCATTGGCTGACACTCGCCTGGATCTGAGGCTGGAGGCAGGGAGGGACTTTCCCTCGATTCTAAGTGCACCCTCCTACCTCTATCAGCATTGTGAAAATTTTGGACGCGAGCTGGTAAATGCACTTATATTAAGCCCTCTGATGGTGGTGAGCATATGAAGGGTAACTTATTTAAGAAAACTGATAATTGTTTTTTTTTAGGTTGGTGCCATGTCATTCCGAGTTATTTGACAGTAATTCCAGAAAATAACCAAGTAAGCAATGAAATGAAATATGTATGAAACGGTTTGTTAATTTAAATTTTAAACCTGAAAACTAGAGGATTATTTAACACAGAATTCAAAAGAAAATGAAATAGAAAAATGAACATTTTCCAAATTCTCCAAAGAAAGAAAGAAAGAAAATGTCAATATAATGTAATGGTTTTTTTTTTTTTAATCCATCATGTGATGTCTTGTCAGGGAGATGTCTTTTATCATGGCACCCAAACTGCTGGCAGAGACTTTCAATACAAACCTAATTTTCTCTAGGTTATACTCTCTTTCTCACACACACACACCCACATTCACTCACTGCCAAGAATATTTCACCTGGTGTGGATAAGAATGGATGCCTCTGGAAACATGATGAAATGCATTCATCCAATAAAAGACATCACAGTGTTATCTGTGCAGGCTGTCTCAGCATTCCTCCCTGTGGCACTATGCAAATACAGTACACTATTGAGTTACAGCAACATGGGAATTAGCCTCATTTCCTAGTTTATGCAGAGAAACAACATATAAAAGCACTTTTGAATACAAATTAGAGATACCATCTGGGTTAGCATTCACCACTGGCTGACCTTAAACTGAGACAAGCATATAACAACTAGCTGAGGGATAAGAGGAAGAAGAGGAGAATGGCCCTGATGAAAAGATAGCACTGGACTTAACTGTCCCTGTTGTTATGACAGTGAATATAATTTCATAAATTTGTGATTCCCCTGAAAGATATAGACTATGATAACTGCTGTTTGGCTCCCTGTGCCAGAAAGAGACCTGGATATTTTTGTCTCTTTTCTCTCAAACATTCATTCACTGCAAAGGTTTGGGCACTTTAGATGTTGAGATTAGCCCTGTGATAGACTGGAAACCTGTTCCCCACCTCTTTCCCAATGTCTGCTGGGATAGGCTCCAGCTGACAAATGTTTTTAGTGATATTTTGTACCTCTACGAATATGAAATCTCTCCAAGATTACAGAGAGATTTAATAAGGTAATATTGTTTTTTGTCTTCCATTCATCACAAAAACCAAACGGTAACTGAGATTTTAACATAAATCTTACTACAAAGATTTCTGTAGAAATAAGACAATGCAAAGTCAACCCCCAAAATAGTGCTCATTCATTAGAAAGGTTGAGTAAAACGTCACCTAGCGTTGGTTGACTGTATTGAATCCGGAACCTTTCGTATGTAGGTGTTTCCAGACGGTTGACTTTCGAGCAAACTCAGCCTAATAATGGCGAAGCACCTTCGTTTCCTTGCGCGAACGGTGATGGTTCAAGACGGCAACGTTGATACGGCGTACAAGACTTTAAACAGGTTAAATTCATGTATTCGAGATAAAGTAAAGGATAAAATTTGTCAGTATCCGCTGGATGATAAGCTATCGTGAGCTAAGTTAGCGTTAGCTTTCCGCTCAATGTCACATAGCTGCGGGTGCGCAGTGGTGTTACTACTTGTATGCACAGCTGCTAAACGTTACTTTTGATGTTTTAGGGATTTCATTAAAAGTAGAGTAGACGTTAAAGGGTTTAAACTCAGCAATAGCATAATAACCCTTACTTACATTGTTACATTATTTTGGCACACTAGCAACATTTGTCACTTATAAATGGTAGCAGTTGGATCCTAAATTGCATATTCAAAAATCCAAACTATGCAGGCTACTGTAGTATACCTCATACTATACTAACTATCGTATATCAAACTTATATGTCAAGGGCAACACTAATGACGACATGGGACAAACATTAGAGAAACCATCCAAACTGGGAATACAATTATACCATTTTTCACGCGTTGTACTGTTTTGTATGACCACCTTTGAATATAGTCATTTCAAAGTTGAAGTCCTTTTTAGTTAAAAACTGTCAACAAATTTAACAGATTAAGAAAATATGATTTGCTTTTGCTGTGCTGAACCAGGGATTACAAAGGGACTATACATTATATTATGGGATTACACATGATAAATGGAGTTTGGACAACTTTATTGTGATGTTTTCTTGTGATATACTTTTATTTTTAATATAATGATAAACAAAATGGGCAAATGTACTGTAGTGATTATCTACCATTATATTTGATTTGAAAATACAATTGGTACAATTTGGAAATTTAGCTAAAGAAATACCCCATAAATTAAAACATAAATGTTCTACAATTTAAATTGTAAAACAATTTTTTATGCTGTCAGGGTGTATGAAGACTTAAAGGGTTAAAATACTTTTTAAATTGAGCTTGAAAGTGTTCTGTATGTCTGATTGCAAAAATTTCTTGCCAAAGGGACAATATCCACTCAGTCCACTGCAGTAACTTCTGTTATGTTTCTGCTGCTGTGATTGTTCTTAAATGCTTTACTTATTTCAGTTTAACCAGTTAGGCAGTAGTTAGCTCTATTTTTAAATAATTTAATAAAAGCTGGCAAACTGATACTTTCATTTACCTATTCAGTGTCCTGAATGCAACCCAGGTCTCAGATATTCACAGGTTTTCTCTTCATACTCTAGGCTCCTCACTCAGGATGGGATTATTGAAACAGTGAAGCGGAAGCGCTACTATGAGAAGCCATGCCGAGAGCGACAGCGGAAGAACTTTGAGAACTGTAAGCGAATCTACAACACAGAAATGGCCAGGAAAATTGCCTTTATCTCCAGGACAAACAGAGAGGATCCCTGGCTCGGCTGCTAGTGAAGTGGAGTGCGATGAAGCAAAATGTTATCAATGGACTGGTTGAGATGGTGTCAGCACAACAGAGGAAGCAAACATCAACACAGTGTCACTATCACATGTAAATGAACTTGTCAGCAATGATCATTGTGTTCAATTTTTTCCCAAAAGGTCTGACTTAGGAGAGAAAAATCTTCTATACTCATTCTTGGTTGATAGGTTAACATTGCTTTGACATTTTTTTTAATGTTCCGAGTGTTCCCGTACAGTTTTGCTAATGAAAAAGCTAATAAATGTATGCAATGATTTGAAAACTTTAAATTGATGAGCTTTTTCTCACAGTTAAGCTTCTGTTTAAACGGCAAACACACACTGGTATACACAGGTGTTTATATTGTACAGCATAAGGTCATATATTGCCTTCAGGATTAGTCAGTTGAAGGAATTCAAATGAAACAGAAGATGTTTTTTGTGTGAGTGGGGTCTCTGTTCAGCAGCAGCTTGATGTAAATTAACTGAAGGTCACTACAACACAGTGTGGTATTAATGTCCACTGATGATGTCGGCCACCTCCCACAAAGTCCCTTATGGAGACAAATCAGCTGTGCACATCTGTCAGATCCCAGGCTTTTGTCACAGGGGTTCTTAATGTGCGCACCGGCTCTTGCTTCACCCACAGGGTAAGTTAAACATTTGCACCAGGCTCACTTGTCTTTGAGGTTACCAGGTCATGTTGGTATCCTGTCCTTTGGTTTCAGTTGGTGGCATTGCAAGAACTGAGAGGACCAGTACAATACATGACCTATATATTATGCTGAAGGAGACTGACTGCTGTCTATATTACCTTTGTCAAAGGCCCATTTATATTAAAAATAATTTCACTTTTAACTCTGGTGGTATCTATGTTTTTCAAGTTTCTCTGAAATATCTGTCTCTAGTGTAATAGAGGTTTTGTGGAAAATCAAAATATTGCATCTCAATCTTTTACTGCACATACTGTATCCGTGCATAAGTAACGGTGTGCCCTATTCTCTCTTCCTGGGTGTAATGTTATAGGAGGGAGGTGAATAATGTTCAACAAAAACAAATAGCAGTACCCTCGCCTATAATTACGGTGGTCCTTAAATGGTGTACTATGTCTATTAAACCTGGCCAAATGCGACCTAATTTACATACCAACATTTTGAATAGTGCTCAAAGGCCGCGTGCGCTACTCGTTTTACAGCCACACTACACACACGTGCTGCCTTAATAAGTGCCATGCGATCTATGCAATTACCAGCCAACCGGCGCTGGTGTTGTTTACTATTGGCCAAGCATCTGAGCCAATGAGAAAAGAGCGAACCTCTCTTCAGCCAATCGGAGCTCAGTGCCACTTCCGCACGTGTATTGGCAGTTGCGTTCTGTGGGCACTGACAAAGTAAAGGAAACAGGAGCAGAGATAGAACAGACAAGGAGGGACTGAGCGGGAACTGGCTAACAGCCGCAACCAACGTGCGCACGCATCACTGCTCACAAATACAGCCGTCAGCTTTGCTGGAGTTGCTTGTGTAAGACGTGAAATTGTTCAACTTATTCAAGAGACGTTAACGTACCTTGTCAAAGTCATCTTTTTTATTTTATTGTTTTTGTGAATCCAGTTCTGTTCTGGCAAGAAGGTAAGCGCTGTGTCACTTATTTCTGTTTTAAGGGAATGTTGACTGCTTTTCAGGCTCGATTTGTAAATAATTTTACATTAATAGAACAACTAGTCACTTTTGTCGTAACATTTATTAATGTATAACTATTTCATTAATTATTAATTTCCTGACTAGCAGTTGATCTCTGGAATCACTAACTTACAGGACGAACATGTAACAAGATATTAGCTAATTACCAATATAAAATCTGAACCGGTAGCCTATTTTAGTTTTCGTTCACATAACAGTTGTGACAAAATGCGTGATTGTGCAGCTATTTAAATTTTATATCAGAATATCAGCTGTATTTCTTTAACATATGTTTGGCCTTTGTGTCAGTTTTTTAAATTACCAGAACTTTCTCTAAAAAAGATTGTTTTAAGTTAAATCATGATCCCTATCCACTATGTATTGATAAATCTTTTGATTTGTGTAATTTGAAGACACTAACAGATTTCCTTTAGTATATTGAATACTCATTATCTACTGTATGTGCAAATCCGTTTGATTTAAACACTGTAGCTATGCCTGTTTGATTTTGCCAACTGCCAAAATTTGTACTCACCAAAGTTCTGTTGTGAGATGATTGCTTTTCAGTTAATACCTCTGTTACAATCTCTTATTTTTCCTTGCTTTTATTGTCCTGTTTCCACAGATGAATTCATTGGGCAGTTCTTCCAAATGGTCATCTTACGACTCGCTACCCTCCACCTCCAGCTTTCTCCTGAGTGAGAATGAGCAGACTGGGGATGAAGCAGACGTCTTCTCAGAAGGAGAGGGGGACAATGGAAGAAGAAAGTCTCTTTTAGATGATGAAGGAATCAACCTTTCTGGAAATTATCTTCATTTCCTTGGTCAGTCACATCAGCTTCATTCAAGGTCTAAGAGTGATCAGTCTGAACAGTGCTCTGATGAAACTAAGCATCCCAACATAACCTCTTGTCCTGGAGCTGCTGCATTAGACTCATCATCAGCAACACCAGGGGACCTGGCCTTCGCTCGGAAAGTGAGCACACTTAAACTCATTCCTAAGTCTTTATTTCAGTATTTACTGTCTGCAAAATAGAACCTCAGTCATAGAGTAGTAAAACTAGTCTTTCCCTTATTTTCTCAGTGTGCTGATTTGCAAAGGTTTATTGATCCTTTGCATGAGCTCCTACATGGACTAAAGATGGGGCGATTTGACAAAGGTATGCAGCTGAGCAATATCAGACATCATTATTATCTTTATTCATGTTTTGGTGCATTCCAGCCTGTTATACAAGCACCAACTGCTTGATATTTAGATGATATGTTTAAATTATGGCAGGTTTAACCAGTTTCCAGCAGAGTGTTGCCATAGACAGATTGCAGAGGATTCTTGGAATTCTACAGAAGCCTGAATTGGGGTAAGTAGCAAATCCTAACCTAATGTTGTGACAGTAGTTAAAAAGGAGAATGTGTCATTGTCATCCATATCCAGCATTATCCTTAATGTTTTTCTTAACTCTTTTTTTTTTTGCAGTGAGAAATACCTCCAAAATCTATTGCAGATAGAGGTGATGCTCAAAATGTGGTTCCCACAGGTGGCATTACAGTCCACAGATACGCGACACCAGACCAATGCTACCAGACTTGCATCACAACGGCCCCCAAATCCACTCCACATGCCAGTTAAGGTGAGCTTATTACTGGATTTTACTTTTGTTACAGACAAGAGTACACTTATAGGTGTGCATTAATCAAACCATGGGTGTTATGATGTCAAAATAACAAATGCTAAACTTTTTTTTAAATTAAAACACCATATTTTGAAGAGGTCACGTTGTTTTGCACAGCGAGAGTGGGACAGAGTAATTTGAGCTTTGCATAACCTCAGTGCTTTGTGTCACATTAACAGTAACCAGAACCTTCTACTGCACTGACAAATTACTCCTTAGTCAGCTGACACTAACTTTGGACTGCAGGCTGCATTCTGTAAACTTTGTTGTGATGAGGCTTTCATAGTTTGTTGTCGCTAGGAAACTGGACATGATGGGAGGGCAAAGTGTGGTTAGGAGTGGCTTAAGGTCTCCGTTTGTTTTGAGTCTCACTAGATCCTCTAGTGGCTGAAAACAAATTAGGAAGACTAGCTTTAATTGAGGAATGAGATTTATTAGAACTTGAGTTTTATTTCATAGAACTGAAGTCAATTCTAGCTGTAATGAACTGTAGTTTACCTTCAAGATCATCGTTTATGGCTTTTTTTTTTTTTTTTGGTTATACTTTCCCATTGCAGAAGAGAAAGCTGAGCTGGTCAGACAGCGACCTCACTGGCAAAGTCCCAGCCAAGCGTGAGCATCATGAACACAGAAAACATTGTAGGTGCAAGGCTTCAACTTCACTTGACACTGCCTCCACCTGTCTCCCTGGATCACCTAAAAAACCGAAAACTCCAGAGGAAGAAACAATAGAACCAGCTGGGGCCAGCACTGGCACTGAGTTTACAGACAGCACTGGCACTTTAAGCATACCATCATATTTATGTAGCAAGAGAGAAAATGACAATTGGAAGAAGCTTGAGGTTACCCTGCCCTTCCCTTGTGGCAGCCCAGCTATACAGGACAGCTCAGTGTCCTCAAGTGACATAATTTCTACAGCTGACTGACCTTAGCTGACCTCGCTACCAGATGGAGGTACCACAGCATGCCAGTCAGACTGAAGGCAGAGGGCAGACCTTATTACACAAGTATATAGCTTGGGGCAGAACCAGGCTATGGGGACTGTAAGGTACATCTAGTAAAACCAGTGGAGACGGGTGCAGAGGGTGCTTCTCATTACCTTGTTTCATGACTCGTCAGTCCTCTGGTGACCTGTAAATTATTCCAGTTTGTTTGATTCACAATTTAGTTAAAATAATTGGATCAGTTTTGATTAATAAGGAGTCATACTTTTATAATTGATCAGAAAGATTTTTCTTTAAATTTTTTGCCACTACTGTAGTGGCAGTAATTATTAATATCTGGACAATAGCAGTGCATGATCTGTGCTCCAAGGCAAATAAACCTTTTTAATGCCTGCAGACTGACACGTGATCCAGCTTCCCTGTCAACATCAGAAACGCGCATCACCTCAGATGATGCTTTGGAGTAAAGGGCACCTCTTTTCTCTGAAAATGTTTTCTTAATTTCTCTTTCCTCGCATCATTTCTTTGCTTCTCTCCTTGGCATGGGAGGGAAATGAGGAAACACCCAAGACAAATGAGAACCACCCAGAGAGACACTCATTAACCCTTAACTATCCAATGTGGTTTTTGATTATTGCACTATATTATAAGGAATGTTTTCTTTTGTTATACATTCACTTTCATTAAGTTAAAACATGTTGCAAATACTTTACACATGTAATGCATTAAAGCAGTATGTGCTCTCTTTTGTATTTTTCATATTATAAAATGTAACGGTTATAGGATTTCATGCCGTTGGTGAAAAATAGAAATAGCAGATATCACACTTGTGAAAATGAATACATATGGTTCACAATTGAAATAACAGGGAGGTTAGAATTGTTATTTGCCAGCTTTATTTATTGTAATGTATGGTAGAGCAAAGGCAAGGCCAAAGTGTTTCGAACAAAGCCATTTAGCATTGTCATATCTTAAGCACCTTACTCATGCCTCCTACTTGTTACTTATTAACTGAGCACAAAAGAGGTTGTAAATAAGAGTAGATGTAGCTGCACGTACGGTAAAACACATGAAATATCACATCCTGACAATGAGTGATGATAAATTATAGACTTGGGTGTTATTCTGTCAGTTACTTTTATGCGGCCAGTGAGTGAACTTGTTTTGGGTAGAAACAATTGAAAATGTAATATTTTATTTCTCACATGATATATGAGTAACTTTTTATAGAATCTTAAATAGGTATATATTTGACACTGTGTAAATTAGCAGTAATGCATCTGCACTTTGGATGGCAATAAGGACATTTCTACGCTTATGTTAATATCAACAGTTGTGATATTATTTATAAAATTTTGTTTAAGAGGCTCAGTACTTGAAAATCTTGATTACATTTGTAGACATGTGTTAGACCTGAGATAAGAGCTTTACGGGCACTTGAGTGAGAGATTTCATAGGCAAAATTGTCATTGTCAACACCTTAGTGTTCCCACAAAATGCTCCAAATTTTATGAGGACTAAAAGGTCTGTATCACTGACTTGCTGTTTGAAAATTTGTATCACTCAAAGTGCTTTACTATTAATTATGTGACAGAGTAATATTGTTGTGGTATGATTAACAAAACTATTCTAAAAATGTGAATGTTGAATGGAATTTCATCTCCAGTGTGTTGATATACATAAAGGTAACTACAAAATTGCCTGAAATTACTTCAACAATCAAGCAAAGTGTATTTAACTAATGATGGTAAAATAGTCTTCTTACCACATATGTCATTGCAAACCAAAAGTGCTGCTGTTTAGATGTGCCTTAGGATTTGCCATTAGTAATTTTTATTGGTTTGGGATTAGGTTATTTGAAATGCAAATTGTAAACTTGTGCTAGAGAACAATAGTATAGAGTAGTGTTGATTTGGTTTAGAAATGGTAGCATCCTATAGTGCAGGTTTTGCTGTGCTGGTTTACTTGTATGTAAAAAAATCAGTGAAATAGGAAAATACTAAAAGTAGACTAACATCTTTTTCTCATTTGTATGTCTTTAATTTTTTGTTTCCCTTGTTTTAGACAATTTCTTTGTCATTATTAGTGATTGATTGCTAAATGCACATATCTTTATATATTAAATGAATGATTGGGGGGGTCATCAAAATGCAGTTTGTTTGCTGGTTTTTAGAATACACTGGCAGTCTAGGCTGTTTGAAATAGGTCAGATTAATAACATTTTCCTGTTTTAATGTTTAAAGTTTTGACTTTCTTCAATTTGGAGATGTGTCTATCATCCACAGAACCTGATGGATAAAAATGTTTAACTGTCCAAATACTCTTGGTTGCAACTATATCTGTACTGTAGGCTATGTTTTGAAGAACTTATTTTCCTAGAGTACTCCATTACTCTGTACTTCTTTTTACTACAGTTCAGGACATAATGTAATTAATACTCAATTTATTTGACAGCAATGTGTATTAGTTACTTTTTAGATAACTTCAACCAAATACAGATTACACTAAACAGCATCATTTAATTCATTGTTGTCTATAACCAATGATATACAGTAATGTGCAAATGTTTTAGGCACTTTAGATGTTTAGGTTTTTACTTACACAACAGAGACAGGAGGAACAATGAGTCCTGCTAGATAGTATGGCCCCCAGACAGTCACGTATTTTTACACTGTTGATTTGCTACTTATTAAGTAAAAGATCTGAATACCTCTTCCACCATTGCTATGCAGTAAACTGTTGTAACCAGGAACACGCAGCAGATGGCGCTAACAAATATTAGCTCCGTGACACTGGGTGGCGCCATAATCATGACGTGTTTACGGAAATGCACTTCACCTCACCAGCAACGAGTAAACAGACGTCCAGGATGTCACAAGGCGCTAAGTGCTAGCTTTGAATGTTAAGTGATATAAACTATTAGTTGTACTAGCTCATGGTGGATAATTTCTAGAAACTGGAAGTGACAGGAGCTGCATAATACACATTTAGGGTTGTGTAATATGGCAGTGGCAGCTAAGCGGCTTGTAAATGTGATAACGTATGTGCTACGCTAAGCTAGCATGCTAAGCGCCAGCCTCGGCTAACCAGTTTTTTGGAATGCTAGTGCGCAGCGCGAACCTCTTCGGACATGGCAGCGGGAGCAGGAGCCACATTAAGCGGCTCACTAGAGTCTACTTTAGACAGGAAGTTTCAAAGTGTCACAAACACGATGGATTCAATCCAAGGACTGTCAGCGTGGTGCATCGAAAACAAGAAGTACCACAGCTTCATTGTGCGACACTGGATGAAGAGTTTGAGGAAATGTAAGTAGCATTTCTACCTGTTAAGCTGACGGTTACTGCTTCAACTGTGGGGTGAAAGTGGTTTGGGCACAACGATCACCATCCTTTCATTGGCTAAAGAAACTGAGATAATATTTGACGTTTTTATCTTTACTTTCTAGTCAACAGTTTTGTCCCAACTTAGAACACCGGGAGACCCTGGAGTTTACAACCTGCTCTCCTCCTGTTTTAGCCACTTAGCACCTAGTGCTGTGCTAACATTGAAGTAGCCTAACTAAGTGGCGACGTATATGTTAACCTACAGTGAGTTAGTTCTCCGTTGAATTATTTACTGCTTAAGAAGTATTAATTCTAATGTAGTTAAACTAACCCTGGCTCATTATTAACAGGATGACCTTACGTTACATATTAAAGTAAGTTAGATGTTAGGTTAGGAAGATGTTTTGTGTCTTTAACTGCAGTGGAAAAGTCCATTCAAAACCTGAGTGGTCCCAGATTAACTGCGTGTTACTTGTTATTTGGCAATTTATTTTACTGTTTCGTTTGAGAAGTTGCACCACTTACGTACATCATCCAATTAGGTCCCACATTATTACGTATTCCTGTTTTGTGGAGTAGATTGTTTTCTAATAAATTCAGAAATTTGTACAAACAGACTTACTGGTATAAATCTTTGAACAACAAGAAAATACAGCAGTTATGCTATAATGTACAACCAACACATCATAACACATCATCAGCATACATCTTATCCCAGCGTTGTACCTTGTATGGCATCTACATTTATCTCTGTTGAGTTCAAGTCTTGAAACAGTTATTGTTTTTTTTTTCTCTAATTCTGTTTGTAGGTTTATTTTTGTGTGGTTCTTAGTGTGAGCAGTGAGCAAAAGACAGTGCTAACACTGGTTGAGAGGTTTGCCGCTGGTATTTTTCTGCAATCTGATGTGCAAGATTATAAACATTAACAGGTTGCGTTTCTTAGTCTGCTGTTGTAGTAAGTCATCATGTTGTATAACACTGTCTCCTTGTTGCCCAGAGTTATTTACTGTAGCTCTTTATTAGATCAAGTGTATTTCTTTACTCAGAAATGTATTGTATGAGCATTTGCAACAAGATCTGGCAGAGCTGACTTGTAAACTTGAGTTTTCTATGTATGGTCAAAGTCCAGTATCAAGTGTATTTAAGAATCACAGTCGGAGAATTACAGTGAATGCAGTGAAATTAAATTATTGGGACATGATGACCAACTACATAGAGCTGAATGGATTATGCATTCAATGAATATTAACACCTGAATATGTTAAATAAAATTAGGACCAGCACAATTTGACAATTAATAGATTAATTGATTGACAAAAATGTTGTCTGTTGTTTAAAGTTGTCACTTTTCTCTCTGGGAAAATGTGATGGCAATTTTCCAGTAATCGAAGAAGCAAGTGATAGAATAACTGATAATTAACTGCACCAGTAGAGTATACAATATAACCACAAGATTTATTTAACATGGTTCAGTAACCTTTTGTTTGTCATTCTGCTAATGTGAAGTGATCCTTGTTTTTGGATAATAGTTTTCTCTGGTTTCTGTCAGGGATGTATGTGCTGATTTTTAAATGAAAAGAACCAAATGATTACTGATGACTGATTATAATTGTAAATGCATTTTCTCCCATTATATTATGATCACTTGGATTTATTTAATTAATAGGAAACCTTTTTTATGCTAATTAAATTTTATGTTTTGGTGTCTGTGTTTTGATGTTCTAAAATCATTTTTGTGTTTCATGTCCACCGTGACTGGCGATACAGAATTTTGTTAGGGGCTTCTGTTCCAAGGTCGGCTCGTAGACTTTGGTTTTACTCCCATACTCCATGGAAGTGAAAAAATTTGTCAGAATGTGGCCTTAGCTCAGTATTGTCTGTCTGTCCCTTAAATTGTTGGCTGTGGTTATAGTAGAGTGTTTGAGTTGGTTTATAATGCAGTTTGACTGAGAAGAGTCCAAAAGTGTTTTTACAGTTTTACATTTGTTTTTGTTCTGATGAATTGATGACACATTTAAATTATCTCAAGTTACCTTGCAGTAACATGAAGGTGTGATGGTGTTTTGGTGAACACACAAATACAAATGACCCACAATGCAAGTAAATGAGTATTTATGTAAATTTAATGACTGATCCAGTGGTATTTTAAACATTTAATCCTTGAAAAGGATACAACAACTTTTTGTTTGTCTTTTTGTAGTAAGGTTTTGTAACTCCTGAAGATGTTTTTATAACAGCAAGTCAGTGGACACTTTGTTTGCAGCTGTTTGCCTTTGAGTGTGATGTTATGAGCTGTGAATTGAATAAGATAGTTGCATGTTGACTGTTTGTCAGTTAATGCGAGCATTTGGGGGGAAAAGGTGAAGTCAGTTGGTAAATATCAATAAAAGTATTGATTTGGTGTCTGTACCAGATCTTTGGTCTCAAAGAATGACACTTAGCGCTGTGTGTGTGTGTGTGTGTGTGTGTGTGTGTGTAAACCTTTAATCAAAAAACATATATGGCAACAAGGATTGTGATCATGGTGTAGTGTTTTATTCCATGTGCCTGATGTTGGTTAAATGTCATACAGCCGTTTATTACATTGATTAATCTCTAGTGACAAGTGTATCGATTGAGAGTTAATCTGTCACAATTTGCATAACTCTTCAATGATTTATGCCATGTGCTTATCTGAAAATAAGTCAGTGATTAATTTGTTGTTATTGTCATTTATTAAGTAAACACTAAGCATTTTAGTTTACCAGCTTAACAGGATTTCTTTGATTTTCTCATTTAGTGTGATTAAAAAAGGAATATGTTTCAGTGTTTGGCTGCTAGACTAGGTTCTGGTCACACTGTTGTAAGTGCTGGATGCTTGTTGTTTTGACATCTTTGTAGAGTAAATGATTAGTTCATTGCAGCTATGTTAACTGCTGTCTACATATAGTTAAAAAACTGTCAAAAGATTTGCCATTTTTTCAGGTTATTTGGACTCGGTTCCTCCCATCAGCAGAACATCTGCCTTCACTGACAATCTAACACTATTGTCTCTCTGTCCTGTCCCAGCTAATGCCTCACACAGGCTCAACTTGTTTTATCTTGCCAATGATGTCATTCAGAACTGTAAAAGGAAAAATGCCATCGTCTATCGTACGGCATTCGCTGATGTGCTCCCTGAAGCTTTCCTACTGGTCAAGTAAGATTGTTTGTATAAATGTGCTTTTATGAAGCGATAAATTCTGTAGAAAATACTATCATTATTAGTTTATGTCAAACTGCCTGTATAGATGCAGTGACAACATTTGCGTAGGCTTTCTGTCAACTTTGTCCTATGTATTTTTCATTTGTTTCTGTTTCACTTTTCTGTCCTTGTCTGAATTTCAAAGAAATTGCACATACATAAATAAAACAAATTTCATTTCAACATCAAAAATGTCTGTTCTTATTTCTCCTTTCTCTAGCCGTGAGAGTGACGTAAAGATGACTAAATCCGTGGAAAGGATATTGTCCATCTGGGAGGACAGGGGCGTGTATTCAGGGACGCTCATTGCTGACCTTCGGAGTAGCTTGGTCAAAGAGGATTCCCCTCCTGAGACGCCTGTGGAGCAAAAAAGTAGTGCATTGGCTTAGTTTTTCACTTTTCACATTTGCTCACCACCAACTTTGCAAAGTTTAGGTTTTATATTCAGTTTTACATAGACAGACTTTGCATTTACTGCTGCATTATGTTCTTCTGTTAGCTCCTATTCTTATGTAACTCTGTTTTGACTATTTTATTCTTTTATTGTTTGATGTGATCTGTAATATTTATTTTATTTATTTTTTAAAGCTCCAGTTGAGTCTAAAGCAGATCTACAGTCCAAGGTTGTTGCTGAGTTTGTGGTAAGCAAGACTTTTTTTTTTTTTTTTTTTTTCTGCAACGCTTTAATTTTTGTCTTCTCCG